ATTCGTAACCACTACGCTACCAGAGCTCCTTAATCAATGATCATATCTATAGCTACAGCCTTTGAGTAAGAGTAACAAACTAGAAAGTGAAATTCTAGAGGGAATTAGCCAATGATCATATCAAGTACTTAAAAGGTTGATGTAGGATAAGTAGGATAACACAGATCTGTGCTTGCTAATTCCCTCTAGAATTTCACTTTCTAGTTTGTTACTCTTACTCAAAGGCTGTAGCTATAGTATTTTGCACATTGATCTCTTTATATAAGAATGGCAGACTCTAGTGTGATAGCTAACAAAGCTTTCCATCTGAAAGAGTGTAGAAGACAAAACCTGTTTGGTGGTTTTAATAACTTGATACTTGTGTACCAGATGAAGGTTTTCTTTTGCTATAAAAGTATTTAGAACAATAACTTTACTTTTTAATGTTCCATTTCTTCTCAAATATGATCCTTGAGTACATAGCACAAAATATGATTCAAGGTGGGACCTAAGGAGTATGTATAATAACTAGGTGTTCAATACATATTTGTTAAATTTATTTATTCCTTAAGTTGTATCATGAATATATATGGATTTAATTCAAAGAGTTAAAGTCTACATGGAAAGACAATGCAATACTGCTGTTAAGAAGATTATCTCTGGAGTCTAAATTTCTGGGTGACCATCTTGGCTGTGGTTCTGATTCATGTTATTTTGTATGTAATCCTAGGTAATTACTCAACCTCATTGTATATCAGTCTGCTTAATGTATTTTAAATGCTTAGAACTGGACTCACATATATATAAATATGAACAATAATAGCTACTGTTGTTATTTGGATTTTGAAATGTAACTTCAAAATATCTTTTTATCTCACATACTAAGAAAATACAAATCATTATTTCATATGATTATACCTGAAAATGAGCTTTTATATTGGTAGCCTGTTAGGGAAAATTACAGAATAGGCAAATTATTTCTAGGGTTTTACTCAGTTGTACCTCTTTTGTTTCTTTGTTATCTGGCTTCATCCAAGATTTTTCATAGATGTATATGTTCTATTAAGCTTCTTTGTGCTTCACAGAGTTCTCACTGTACTGACCAGTTGGCCATAAATGGTTTGCAAGTTGCTGCCCAGATACTCCGAGCTATTCCCCTCCACGTCTCCTGTGTCTCATCCTTTCTGGGAATGCTTCCCATGTACACAAAGTCTTAGCTACCATATCCTACTTCACTAATGTCCTCAGCATCACATTTTATTGCTCCACAGTCTCTGTCCTAAACATTAATTAAGAGAATTGACATTTAAACCCATTTTTTTTTCCTGAAATGATTTATAATATAATGGTGTGGTTTTGTTTTTGTTTTTTTGTTTTTGTTTTTGGCAGTACTACCAAACTGCTTTCTTGAACATTACTAAATCTTGTAACTCTTTCCCTGTTGTCTAAACAAAATTAATTCTTCTTTTCAAGCTTTCAAACCAGCAAATCAGTTTCCATGGAGTCAATTCTGATTCAAGAAGATCGCATGTGTGTCAGAGTATCACTGGGCTCCACGTGGTTTTCAGTTACTGATTTGGAGGGAAATATGTCACCAGGCCGTTCTTCTAAAGCATTTCTGGGTGAACTCAAACCACCAACTTTTCAATTAGCAGCCAATTGTGTTAACTGTCTGAACCATCTAGGGACTTTTTTTTTTTGCAATCTTAGGTAATGTTTATGCCTCTATTTATTATCAAGTGCCTATGTCCATTTGCTAGTTGTCTTTAAGTGAAGAGAGATTATAGTTCCGCAGGAGGTCTAATACTGCCTTGCGCATAGTGCTCAGTCCACACGGATTAAAATTTATTTGTTTCTCAGCCTAATGATCTTCTCTGTACCATATCTTCCTAAAATGTCTATCTGTCTAGTTCACTCATTCTCTCATTTTTATTAATCTTTGAATCTATTGTATCATCTAAGCCTTGCTCTAATTTATCTAATTTCTGAACCTCCCAAATGCTTACTTCCCACTTCAATTTACACTTCATTATCCAATGCCCTTTCTTGTCAGTACTCTAAATTTTCTTGCCCTATTTGCATTTGTTGTGTCCATTTGATAAAAATTCTTGACTAGTTCAGTGCATGATTCTCTTCTACATTTCTCTGCTCAGGCTCCTAAATGCCACTAGAAAAAGGCACAGCCTCACGACAATGAAGTGGGGAAATTGTTTAGGTAGCATATAGTTTCAGTCTACAGGAATGAAAAATTTGGCAATGGATATTGGTGAAAATTGCACAACATAAAGACTAGGTTGCGAAGCTGTAGGATAAGCGCTGGAATGCTAACCACAAGGCCAGAAGTTAAAACTCACCCTCAGCTCCTCAGAAAGCTACACAGAGTTGATATAGGTCAGAACCTATTCAAAGACAGTTTATAACAACCATAGCAAACACTAAAAAATGTTAAGCTGGAGAATGTTTTGTTCTCAATATTTTTATAACATTATATTTTTTTAAATGTTGTCTGCAGAGACTCTTTTGCATGTCACAGACTAGTTTCTCTTAACCACTGTTTGTAAAAGGCACTGTGATCCATGAACAAGTTCTGGAATTCAGGCCTCTTCCGTCACTAACAGCTGTGAAATGCATCCCTAACTGGCAGAGAAAGCAGAGGTCGTTAGGTGGACTACCACAGTGTGCTTTATATACTACAGAGTTCTATGTCTTTGTAAGGCAGAGTCTTTCTTTTTAATAAAGTTTCAAATGACAACATCAGAATATTTTTTTTTTTAGGTCTGGACAATGAAAGTCTACATAGCAAACTTGAAAGCAGTATTCATTACTAACAAACTACCTAAAATCTAAATTTAGAAAAGGACTTTATTTGTATGAAATTATGAAACAATCCTCTTTTTACATGATGATATTAGTGGTATTACTGAATCTTTTAATAGTTTGTATCTTGTATCTCCTCATATTACCGAGGCATAAAATCATCAGAAAAACTTGGATAATTGAACTATTAATTTTCCTTGGAGTTTCCCCTTTGTCACAAACACTGAAGTACCTACACATCTCTCCAAAAATTTCACATCAATCTTGGAGGATGGGGATCTTTTTATAGCAAGTCATCTATGCAATCCTACCAGCTAATGGTTAGTTTCAATGGGTAGATTATTGATATTATCAGTGAGTCTTTAACTTTGCATGTACAGGCCAACATGCAGTTATTTCTAGTTGAGTGCCATGCTGGTTGTCCACCACACTCAGTATCTTATTTGAATGAACAAGATTGCATAAGTCAAACCTACTTGAAAATGCTTCGTCATTAGTGTCTTCCGATCATCTTCAATCTGCCGAAACTTGGCCTTCAGCCCTTTCATTTGGGTTTCCATTTTTAAAACATATTGGAAGTCTCTCTGAGTTCTCAGGTTTAAGACTTCAATAGACTGGGACATGTTCTGAACCTGTTAAATAAGAACATTGGCTGTACATTATTACCAATTTACTGTTATATGTAATTGCTATTGAAGGGGTAAAATGACAGTAATGTAAAGGACTAGAAATGGCAAACCCATAGCCACCTATCAGAACTACACATCTTCAGGACAATTCTTCATGAGAAGCATTCAGAAAATTCAGCCACAGAAAATTATACCAGATAGAAAATAATCAGAAGGGTTTTGTAGTATTGGCAGTGATTGAATACAAAAAAGGATTCAATACATCAGAAAAAATAAAATGTTAAAATATTATTTATAAAAATCAGATGTTATAAGCTTGTAAAGCACAAGGTTGTTGTCAAAATAAGTTGTTTATTTATTACTAACTCTGACTTCTTAAAGAAGTGGGATGCTTTGCAATTGTAGATGATAGTGGTGTCCAACAGACCCAGACACACTCATTCCAGGGCAGTTTCTTCAAAATGGGTCTAAAGTACTCTCTGGCATGAGACAGAATTAACCAAGATGAGTGGTGGCAGTGCTGGGACACCTCCTAATTCAAAGATCATACCGTTTGGGACCTGAAAAATGGCAACTCTATCAGATAAGTGGTTAAAAGGGCATTAAATACAACTTAAGCTGATGGCACCATCTCAGATCCATTGAGTCTGGTGATCTTAAGAAGAAATAAATGCTCATAGTTGAGCTATATAATATGTAGAAATGAGAAGAAAGGAAGAGTATCTAATTTTTGTGGCAGAAAAATTCTGGAAACTAAGCAAAGAGTAGAGGAGTACTGAATGAAATGAAAATGAGATGTCAATAAACTGTCAATAAATAATAAAATAGAGCTCTATACTGGTGGTTATGTGCCGTGGAGTTGGTTCTGACTCATAGTGTCCCTGTACAGGGTTTCCAAGGCTATAAATCTTTACAGGAGCAGAAAGCCTCATCTTTCTCCCATGGAACAGCTGGTAGTTTCGAACTGCTGTCCCTGAGGTTAGCAGCCTGATTTGTAACCACTAAACTACTAGAGCTCTATACTAAGATGGTCAAAATTTCTGTCTACAGAGCAACTTGGCTTCAACTTGAGAGCATATCAGAAATGCAGAATTTGAGCCTTGCCCCAGAAGCCTTGAATCAGAATCTGCATTTTATAAAATTCCCTACTAATTTCTATGCCTATTAAAGTCAGGAGAACCACATATTTACAATAGAGGAATTTCCATCATCTATAGTTAAGTGACAAAAGTAAAATTAAAAGACTTCATATCATTCGATCTTTTTATTATAAGTTAAATATTAACACAAACCTTTGAATACATGTGTATATGCATACAATAAAATGGTGTATATAAGTAAAACTTATGGGGAGAGTGTGAGAAGATTACAAGGATACATATTAAGAATACATATTAATACATATAAAAAAAACATAATGGTTTTCAGGATGGGGAGTGAACTGTGTGAAGAATGTAATCATTACAGAAAGGGGTCCCTAGTAAATATATTATATGTAAATGCATATGCACAAAATCATATGTTTTATCTGCATAAATATATGCATACATCAAAGCATGGCCACAAATGATGGTGATATTTCAGTTGTTTTATTTTGTTTCATATATCTTAAGTATTATTCACATTACTTTGTAATGAAGATATACTGTTTATGCAATCAGTAAAAAGTTATACTAACTGAAAAAATATGAATTACAAATAAGGAAAGAATGATTTATTCAGTAACAAATTTTATCATAAAATAAAGTCACAAAGCTTAGAAGGCTTTAATAGAACTGATACATTCAAAAAAGGCAGTGAATTCTGAATTGGTCTGCCTCAGTTCCTCTACTTCTTTTGTCTGACAAGGTCATATTTTCCTATATCATTTACCTCTACTGTCTTGAAATACAATCTTGCTGTAAATGATTCTGTCTTTTCAGGACCTATCACACTCATTCTGGTTTGTATTAAAACGAATTGTATGATGTGTGTGTTTGGTGGGAGTAAGGAAGTAGCTATCCCCCTGTGAGTCCATGAGGTTAGAGCTGTGTTTTAATCACCTTTTGTTTCCAAGACCTTGCACAGAAACAAACAAATAGTAGGTGCTCAATAAGTATCTATTGAATAAAATGATCCTTGGTATCTAATCACAGAAATGAGTAATTGGAATTTTAATATTTTTAGGAGAGTTCCCCTATCAAATAACTATTATTTTTAAATTTTTTATCATTCTTACTTTCAGAAAACTTAAAATATTTAAAAATTTTAGTATAGTACATTACTGAGACAACATTGAAAGATCGGTAACTACATATTGGATAGATACAATGCTTTCAAAATAATTTAAAACTTCATTTATGGATAAGCATCAATAAAGAAAAGCCATTTATTTTCAAACAATCTACACATTTCAATACGGACATTTGTCTTTGAAGACACTTATAATCAGTATGGCCAACATGCTCCTAGGCCTTACCATGCACACATTGTCTAGGCAATTCAAAAATGAAAGGCAAGATACTCTGGGTGAAAATCATACAGACTCTTTCTATATCTTTCTCTCTTTTTAAAAAGTTTGCATCTGAGTTACCCTACCAAGATAATTTTCAATTTTATTTGTGTCATGGGAAAATATACAGAAAGGACTTTCTATATTGCAGAATCCTATGTAAGAGCTACATTTCAGGAAATGGCTGGAGGTAAGTCTGTCTAATTGGAAAGAATTTGGCTCTGGGCTGCCTTTTGCTCTTCTTGATGAGTATGCCTAGAATTGTTTGTTTCCCCACTAGGCATGGAGACTCACAGAGCATCAGTTTTATTCTTACATGTCCTGATGATACACAAGCTTGGATAACTATACAAATATTTGTAATCAGAACTGTCTACTTTGGTTCCACTTATAGTTTGTTTAGGCTAATGGTGTTCTCAGTTTCTGTTTTCCATAAGTGTCCTTGTACTTAGACACTCTTTGCCCAGTTTGACAAATCTATTGTCCTCTTTCACTGAAAATTTATTTGATCTTTATATATTTAATCTTGTCCTATGCCTAAATAAAATGAAGGCTTTCTAAAGTCAGACTCAAATTAAACTTACACTCAAGTAAAAACAAATTACATTCAAGTAGAGCTCAGATTTTCATTCTCATTCATAATTGGTGTGAAGGCTATTTAGGAAGCAAGTTTCATGGTCCAATATGTTTGGGTTTAACAAAAATAAAGATTTTTTTAAACTGTAAGCTTCTCAGGACCTTTAATATTAAATTGCATGTTGGAAATCTCCAAGAGTGGAATACCATGTAATGTTTCTCAAACTTATTTTATTGGTGAGAATGTTGCCAGAATCCTATTTTAAAAACCACTTTAGGAAATACCAACCTAGATAGTGCAGAACATATTCAAGTATAAAAAGAAATTGCATAGCTAATAATTTAAGGTGAACAATTCTAGTTTCGATATATTAGGACCCAAAATATCATGAAACCATTTGCATTATTCTAATACACATTAACATAAACATTAGGTAAAATGCATATCAATGTGTCCTTTAACTGAGTTTGGGTCCCACTGCCATAATGTTGAAAATGTGGCGATTGAAATCAGATTGAACCAGAAATTACTGACAAGTGACATTGGGAATTATTTTAACCTCAAATCACACCAATTTCTTTTTCTATCAACTTAGAATGAGAACTTACTCTGTTCTGAGTGAATGGAGAGGGTAAGATTATGATACATGCAAGTTATTGTTTTAGTAATAGTATTCCTTTATAATACGACTGTAGTATTAATAATAGAGTCCTGGTATGGATAAGCATTGGACCACATGTTGGTTTGAACTGCACGGTGAGTGGTCCAAATCCACCAGACACTCCTCTGAAACCCTGTACAGGTTACTATGAGTCTACATACATTCGATGTCACTAAACAACCACAAGTATTAATAATAGTTTTATAAATTTGTTGTTGTTGAATGCCGTTGAGCTGGTTCTGACCCATAGTGACCCTTTACAGGATTTCTGAGGAGCAGCTGGTGAGCCTGAACCACCAACCTGGAGGTTCAAACAACTTTTCAGTCCAGTGCATTAACCCATAGTGCCACACCAGGATTCCTTTACTAAGGTCTCTAGGTAACACAAGTAGGTTTTGCTCAACTACTAGCCTAAAGGGTGACCATTTGAATCTATTCAACAGTGCCTTTCATAAACATTACAGACAAGAAAATTCTGTGGAGAAGTTCTACTCTATAACTCATGGAGTCATCACGAAGCAGAATTTTGAATTCTATGATTAAATTAATTCTTTGGTTAACAGTGAATCAGCTGCATAAAGGTCATATCCCTGTTTGCCAACTAACCAGATGCTATGAGTTGATTCTGACTCATGATGGTCCCGTGTGTGTCAGAGTAGAACTCCACAGGTTTTTGATGGTTGATTTTTCAGATTTAGGTCACTAAGCTGTTCTTCCAAGGCACCACTGAATGAACTTGAATGGTGAACCTTTCAGTTAGCAGCCCAACATATGGATCATTTGCACTACCAGGGGATGTTTGCCATCTAGTATCTTGAATGTGTGTGAAACTGTAGTGTAGGATCAACACTGGACTGTGAACCACAAGGTCAGCTGTTAAAACCCACCAGCTGCTTCTTAGAAATCCTATACAGTGTCCCTATGAGTTGGAACTGACTCAATGGCACTTAACAACAACACAGAGGTCAGAGAGTATTGGTGTGGCAATATATTCTTAACACTGGACTTCTAACTGAAAAGTCAGAAGTTCAAATCCACCAGCCACTCCTTGGAAATACTATAAAGGGCCGTTATGAGTCGGAACTTAATAACAACAGAGATAAGCAAGGAACTGACTTAATCTGAATAAAGAATGCTTGCTTCAGATGTTTTTTCCTTTGAGTCACTGCAGTAAATCAATGCTAATTACTTCCTTTTAGGCACTGTAAAGAGGTCCACACAATTTACTGTTCCCCTGTTGACATAATGCTACCTACTAGTAAATTTTGTAAATCTAATTTGTGGTGACACTGATATAGTTAATACATTTTATTTATTTATTTATTGTCTTTGCATTTACTAATGGATTTTTAAAGATATGTTTTAGTAGACTAACTGCAAATTCTTCAGACACATTACACATTGCATGTGATATCATGGTAATTTCCATGATTGCTTTCAACCAACTTTCTGATTGTACTTTTTTGCCTTATTCAGCCTTCATTTAACTACTTGTTTTATAAGAGTGCTGAAATACACTGGAATATATTTCACTTTGTACCTGTAGAGGTTGGTATTCATTTCCCCAAATTTGTAATTCATCTTAATTTTTTCAATTAAGTTTTGAAGAATTGTCTGTGTGTATGTGTGTGTGTGCATGTTTTGTGATACTGAAAAATAGTAACACAAATAAGGTCGCAATCTCTAAGAAAACACTTTTTATCACATTTGGATTGAAAATAGAATTTTTTTCACGGAATATGAGAGTACAATAGAAAATCATTAATCTGAGGAGAAATAAAATTTAATAAAAAGGCAAAATTGATGTTAAAGGATTAAATATTATTACCAACATAATTAACTTCCCTAGTGAATAAACAAAGTCCATAATCATTTTTTTTTTCTCGTAGAAATAAAATCAAGATTGGAAGACAACACTCAGGAATAAGCAAAATTATTTGATTACTAACAGCACATTAGCTAGAGTCATTACATTTTAATAAAAAGGACATATGCTAGTGTTGTGAAGACAGATATTGAAGAAGACAGGAGAAAAGGGTCTCAGCATCAAAAGAGGCTTAAGAAGAGAGAGCCAATAGGTGGTGATAACTCAGAAGAGGGGGAGTATAAACTGATAAATCATTGTATTAAAACATTAAATAAAACCCTCTTAAAATCTTAGAACATCACTAGACTTCCAAATAATGTACACAGAGGCAACTTACTTTCATCATATAGTAATGAAAGGAAGTTGCTATGGCTAGACTTGAAATTGTGTAAATGAGGAGTATCTGTATTAATTATTTTAATTGCTTCTCTTAATTTCCCCATAAAAGTTCCTATTCAATGCCATAATTGTGTAGATGATCACAGAAATGACATTGCACAGAGTGAATTGTTGAACATGATGTCTTCTAAAAACACATACTACCTAATTTACCTTATTATCCCTGATAAAATTCAAACATGCTGTCATCCCTCCATCAATCTGGCCAGCACAACTGTCTTAATATATTCAAAGCCCCGCACAGTGAAGGTCTGAATGGGGATAATTGAAAGAACCATTCACTAGATTTTTTTTTTTTTTTACACCAAACTAACATAAATAATCTTTCATGAGCTGACTTTTATCTGAAAAAAAAAATAATAAATCAAGGGCATTCTGTTTTTGATTGTTATGGATCTGGCTTAAGTAAATTATACAGAGAGAATGCTATTGAATGAAATTGAAGAGCTTAATGTTCAAAGAAATGACTTAGAGAATGATGATAAATACTGAGAATTATTCATTATCTGTCCAGATAGTTTTCATATTGCATGCCATTATTTTAACTTCCTTGCAAGGCTGTGATGAGGATCCAAAACTATGAGCTCAAGAAGCCAAGCAGGAGTTTATGAGTTGAGAATTTCAGGCATGAGGATAAGACTACTTTTCTTTGTTTAATTTTGTCTATGATTAATTAATATAAAGATGCATGCCATAGAGCCAGTTTTAAAAGGAAAACTTGAGAATAATAAACAATCACATAAATAGAAAAATATAGCAGGAAGCTTAACATACCCATTTTGAAGGGACATAAACAAGTTTGAGAAGGAAACAAAAAACAGCGGAACTCATTTCTTTACAGAATTTTCACTGAAGAATGGTAAATGTTAATTGAAATATGCACATCGACTTCAAGAACACCTACCTTTTCCAGAAGTTGACGAAGCTGCCTGCTTTTGGCATCCCGGGAACAAAGGTTTTGTTCTGGAGCAACCACAGTGCAAATGCATCTTCCATCGGGATCCTGTGCTGAACTGTAGACTTGCCAGCCTTCTTTAGGGCTAATCTGAGTCTGAAGAAAACAATGATAAACACACAAACCACAGACCTCTGTTATAAAATGAAGAGAATGTGAGTTTGTAGCATCTGAAGCTAAACATCTCTCTTGATAGCTACAGTGTGTGTTTTCATTGTTTAAAATGAAAAGAGAGCAGTTAAACTTCTACAAGCAGCACAGCTTCATTCAGTTATACATTCTTATCACTATCCAGGCAGACAATTGTTCTCTTTCATACTTTAGGCCCTATATTGCTGTTGCTGAGTGCCATCAAGTCAGTTATGACCTATAGCAACCCTGAATAAGCCACATCTTTTTCCCATGGAGCAACTGGCGGGTTCCAACCACCGGCCTTGTGGTTCACAGTCTAGTGTTTATATTATAGCAGTGTGCTCCAGGTCCCATATTGCTGCTGTTGTTAAGTGTCATCGAGTCAATTCTGACTTATAGCGACCCTGTATAGGGTTTCCTAGCAGCAGCCAGTGAGTTTGAACCATTGACCTTGCAGTTCAAACGGACTTTGCAGTCCAGCTCATTTAACAGAACTCCCATAATTAATTGATTATTGACTTGACATGACTTCCTTATGATTTTTTGGTTGTATTTTGTTATATTAATGTAACTTTCATTGTTGTTTATTGTTAAGTGCCTCCAACTCATAGCAACCCTGTATAGTTTCTAAGAAGCAGTTGGTGAGCTTAAACTGTCAAGCTTGCAGTTCAAACCAACCTTGCAGTCCAGCGTCTCAATCCACAGCACAACTTTAGAAGCATCATATAAATGCTGAATCACATAAGACCAATCATTTTACACAAAGTCTATTAGCTTGTCCTTCTCAACAGTAAATGGTAATTAGTAGCATTTTCTTTCCTGATTATTATTTATGTATGATATTTTGAAGCAAAACCATGTTCCAAGATGTTTCCCATGTATTGAAGACCCAATTATTTATAAAGTTCGAAAGATTCTATGAAGATATAGGGCAAAAATAATTAGATCAGCACTATTTAGCAAAAGATGCAGGATCCCAGAGGAATTAAAGATAATATTTTGACTTAGCCTGCTAAATTGATCTTCCCAAATTACTACTATGCACATATCACACTACCTCCCTAAAACACTAGCTCAAAATTATATTCAAGTTCCAATGCAGTCTGCCTCCTATTTATGTTTCTAGTTGTACCTCCTGTAACTTGCTACAGGGACCTTCCTCTCCAACTCAGTCGGTCTATGTATGTCTTTCAAACACTCATTTTTTTGTAGGGCACTCTTATTGTTCTTTTTGCTTAAAGAGCCTCCTTTGTAAACTTTCAATTTACTTAGAATTTGGCAATTTATTCTTGTTCTGAAGAATTTCCTCCTATACCATTAATTAGGTATTTACTGTTTATTGTCTACTTGTCTTTTGTATGTCTTATTTCAGCAATTAGCTTTTACCCAGATACAAAAAACAGTGGATGCATCTTATCTGCCAATTTAATTGTACTCCTGGTGTGGCACTGTGGGCTAATGCGTCAGACTGCAAAGTCATTTGAACTGCAAGGTTTGTGGTTCAAGCTCACCAGCTGCTCCTTCGAAACCCTATACATGGTTGTTAAGGGTTAGAATCGACTTAATGGCACTTAACAACTACAACAACATCAATTAAAATGTAAACGTCACTCATATTATTTTTGGGAGTGGTGGTGGGGTGGCTCGTACTTTTTCAGGAAATACTGAGCTTGGCACACATATTGGTCATTGTATAAACAGGAGTTGTTGTGGATTGTATGGTATATTGCCCAGAAAGACACTCCTCACATCAAACTCTGGGAGCACTGGCAGTCTAGGATTCAGTTGAGTCTTTCATTGCAGGTTACCTAGGCTGAAAAATGCAGGCCCCTTCCTAGGACAGCCTGCATCCATTGACTTGCTGGTGCAGGATAGAACAGCCTGGCTCTCTTTCTTCAACTCAGGAAGCAGTAGAGCCATCCCAACTCCAGAGATTTTATTGGGGTTGGCTGAGGCCTTTGTCACTGCTCCACCACATGAACTCTAAGTACTTCCTCTTCCAAATCCTGCTCTTCTATTCTTCCTTCAACACAGGTGTTGCCAAGACCAGCCCCCTGATAAACCTCCCCAAACTCCAATATGCTTGTCTCAGATTCAGAGTTTATTTCCTGGAGAAGCTGATCTGTAACAATGGAATTAAATAATCTCATTCAGCTGATCAACTGCTTGGAATGTAATTTATATTTGACATCTTGGTGAGTCTAAAAGGCTCTAATTTCACGCAGATCAATATTCAGGAGGCAGTCTGGTTATTTTATGGTAACCAATTCATAACATCATTTTAAATTTCTTTTTACAGATAAAATTCCCCTGGCTTTTTTTGGCCCACATTTCATTTTCTTGTTTAAGCTTCTGGGTACATTTAAAATCCATCTTTCAGAAGGAAAATTGCACCTAATAGATATAACTATAAGTATCATTTTGCTGTGGCCCTTCTAGGTGAAGATATAATGAGGCCTCTAATTTTGTATTGAAGAATGCTGCTTTTCAAACAAATATAAATATGTAGGACCTAATAACAATCAAGGAGGGAGTGTCATGACTCTGTATGATGGGATAAGCACTGGACTGCGAATCATAAATCAGCAGTTCAAACCCACCCGCTGTTCAACTGGAGAAAGATGAGGCTTTCTGCTCCTCCAAAAGATCTATAGACTTGAAAACCCTGTGCATGACCTCTGTAGGTCAGAATCAATTCTACAACACTTAGTAGCAACAGCAACAGTTAAGGAGTCCTGGTGATGCAGGGGTTAAGTGCTGAAATGCTAACCAAAAGGTTAATAGTTTGAACCTGCCAGCTGATCTCTAGAAGAAAGATACTGCAATCTGATTCTGTAAAGATCACAGCCTAGAAAACTCTGGGACAGTTTACCTTGTTGCACAGAGTCACTATTAATCAAAATGGAGAGCAAAGCAATGGTTTTTTTTACTAATACTTTGGAATTTTCTTTAACCCATAGATAGAATAAAAACTTTTTAGGGGATCATCAGAAAACCCATACAAACAAAACATTTGTCAACATTTCAATATAGCTTAAATTGGCAAATAGTTTGCTGAGTGATCGGATATAGGGAAAAGGCATCTAAGAAACATGCTAATATATAATTTGAGTTTTGGTTGGGTTGGATTATCAGAAAGAATAGTACTTGAATAGTGTTAGTTCAGTTCTATGAAGATACATTTATGTAAAGCTATAATTTCTATAGTTGATGGATGTAAGAAATGACTGTATGAAGAACATTCTCTTGGCAAAGTTAAAAAAGAATGGTCCATTGGAATAAAACCTTAATTGCTAGGTTCATTTCTCTGTTTTCTGTTATCAGAACATCTAAACTATATAATAATTTTTATTTGACTTCCAGGACTCTAATATAAATTTAGTGCTCATCAACAGTTGTAGTTTGTTGTTAAATGCCATCGAGTTGGTTCCAACTCATAGCGATCCCGTAAAGGGTTTCTAAGGAATGACTGGTGAGTTTGAACCGGCAACCTTGTGGTTCTAAATCATCTTAGTTTCTGTTCTGTTGTTATTGTTTTTTAATACTGTTGAGTTGATTCTGACACATACCTACTCTGTATAGGATTTCCAAGAGCGGTTGGAGGGTTTGAACTACCAATCTTGCAGTTAGCAGTCCTACTGCCCCACACCAGGGCTCAATTTGTGGTATAATTTTTTTCTGAATGCTTTCTAATTTGTCATTTTTATATTCTTTTGATTGTACTATTTGGGAAATTAATTCAAAGAAGAATTATATAAATAATAAAATAAAATTATTTGATAGAAATTTAAAGGGCTTTCAAGGATCATTGGCTATCTTACCTGTGTTTAACAAAATAATTTTTTTTTAAAGTTTTTATTGTGAATTGAATGATAGTTTACATGGGAGAACATCAGCTTTACATTCACCCTATTGTATTTCATTTAATTGCAATGATTACAATTCCCTCCAGGCATCATCATTCAACAGCATTTGCTTCCATTCCCTGTTTTTTTTTTGGATGTACACTGAAGCACTCAGGAATATACAACCATTTAAACGACCAAAGAGCACATCCTTCAAGCCCCACCCAGCCCCCCACCCCCCGCTGGCCATAAGCACACAACCCCTCTCCCTCCATGAGTCCAGCGTCCCCAGCTGCTTCATCTTTCCATGTCATCATCTCTGCCTCTATCTCTGCTGTCACTGCTTCTCTGGATAGGGTCCTGCACACTGCTCTTCTGTCTTAATGGTCCCAGTGTCCTCTGCTCCTGGACTGCAAGATCAGCCACTCCCCTCCTTTTGTTACAAAACCTCTACCTTTACATTTGCAGCACTCACAATCAGTCCTGATAGTAAATATTCACTATTGAACTACAAGATTCTTATCCCCATCTCCCTTCACCAGCTCGGTCCATACAGATTGAAAACCACTCAGTGGAGATTCTACCTTCCCCCATGTGCTCTGAAACTAGGCTCCCTCTTGAAAGCCATTCACTTCATGCCTTTGTAGTCCCCCCATTTTGGGTAGCCAATGTTTAAATTTGCCCATTCCTGACAACCCCGTGTACTGAGGGGGTGGGAGTCATCCTTATTGTAAAGATTTGTTCTCTCTTTTGAGCTACTACATCTATAGGTATAGGTCAAGTTCATCAAATTGTAGCAGATTACTCTTTTTTTCTTCTTCTTTCTTCCTCTAGTTGAGTTCTGATCATCCAGCCATTGAAGCCAGGTCAAATGGGTGTTATCTGCAAGTATGGGTATTCTTGTGCATCTCCCCTTCATATCAGCTGGAAGCTTCACTCTCCACTCTAGTCCTCTGTAGCTGTGTCCCTTTCCCTGGGTCTAGGAGTCCCCAGGTCTCCCCATACTGCTGGCCAACCAGGTCTCAATCCAGGTGGACAGGAGTTTGTTGGGTGTAGTCGGATTTAAGTCACAACTTCATTGCTGCTTTTCCCCCATTTGCCCTTATCAGTAGATCAACA